CCTCCCCTCAGGTAAGTCATTTCACCGAGGCTGTCTCCATGGCTGGAGCAGGGAGAGCCAGGAATTCCTGAAGTCTGGCTGAGAGAGAGGCTGGGCTGACCTGATTTATGCCCCCTTTAAAAGGCTGTTTTTGCCTAGTTTACCATCTTTGGCACTCTTTTCTCTCCTGCCGCCAACCCTGCCATCTGGCCATGATCCTTGTCATCTCAGAAGCTTCAGTCAATTCTCTATGACTTTTCCAAGTCCTCAAAGGCTCAATTACTTAGCCAACTCCTCCCCTTACCATGTATATGTCAAAAGTGACAATGTATTGTTCAGAGACTGTCTTATAGATGAGCCTGGAAGCCAGCTGCTAGGCAGTGTAGCTTTTCCTAGGGCAACTCAGTTGCTGAAGAAAGGAGAACTGAGAACTGAACTAAGATTTAAAACAAACAAACCAACAACCCCTTTTTGAACAGGGAAAGGTATAGACCAGCTTCCGTGTCTGCTGGCTGGCTGCAGATGAGCCTGCAGGGGTCTCTGATCTGGGGATTGGCAGAGCCACAAGGTAGAAGGAGCCTGGGTCTCTGCATCACCATGCAGGTCACTCATCCAACATACATATGACCTCACGTTCGATTGTGTTAAGCTACTGAGATGTGGGGATTGTCTGTTAGAGCAGCTTGCTTACCCTGACTAATATCAAAGGGATATGGGCACTCACAGGACTCTCAGGGGAGAAAGGCTCTCCCACAATGGCCCGTCCTTGTCCTTTGTAAGACAAGAACATTCACAGGAAACACTCACTGATGGATCCTTTGCTGGCTGAAGGGGGCAGTGTAGCAGTCATTCTCCTCCAGGTCTGGCAGTGTCTCCTTGTCCAATCTCATTGGCTTCCTAGGTAACCATCTCCGAAACCTGCTTATTTGTTTATCGATCCTGTGGGACACGAAAGGCAAGACCAAAGGGTACAGAATGTCAGCATTACACGGAAACACAGGTGGGAAGTCTCCACAGAGCCACGACTGTGACCCCACGCACTCCAGGCACCCTCACCGCACTCAGGAAATCCGTTCCCCCATTTCCCAGATGGAAAGAAGTGAGCCACAGCTCCTGTGCTCTTCCTATTTCACCAAGGGGCTTCAATGTGACCGTCTACATGATCGCTGCCCTGCGTGACACCACCACATGACTAAGGAGTCCTAACCAGACTAGAAGGTTCTGGAAAGGAAGGTGACAGTCCCTTAGGCAAAGCAGCAGAGACCCTAACTGTATACATTCTGCAGGTTCTAGAAACTCATTCTGTGCTTGGGATAGCTCTTCACCCTCCCTTGGTTAGGGAAGAGCTCCAGCTGTAGTTGACTTCGGGCAGGGAGGCTGAGAGCACATCCCAGTGGGGGGGCTGTGCAGAGAGCCCCATGTCTTGATTTGCTTCCTGCCTGTCCCACCTTCCCCGAACCCTCTCAGCAGGCAGCAGGTTCTTTAGTTTTCACTTCTCTCCTTTTAAACTGACCCCATGGTTCTCATGCTGCTGGGGCATCTCTACCCACATGCATCATTCTGGCCACGGCACACATGATGTCAGGACAAGGAGAACAGAAGTATCTGAAGAGTGGTTTTCAAGCCCCGGTTTCCCCCTGGCTACCTCCCATCCCCTCTGACTTTTGCTGATGAAAACATCTGGCTTCCAAGCAACCAGATATTCAATCACTCACAGCACCCACTGGCAGGAGCAAAAACCACAGCAGACTTCAAAATGATGGTGCTCCCTCAGGCATCCATACCACGGGATGATACGTTCCCCAAGGGCACACATCAAAGAGCATCTCTGTGAGGCAGAGCGAACAGGTCCCCTCCTCACTTTACTCGTTTACAGGAGAGATCCAGGGCGGGGAGGGTGACTGTTTAGCCCGAAACCCCCAGCCGATGCACAGAGCCAGGAGCAGAAAGCAGATTTGGACTCTTGATTCTAGAATCGCCCCATCCAAGTAGCTGATAGTAGAAATCTTCACTTAAGGGTCCAGAAGGGACAGATCCCTCTGGAGAGGAAAAATATCTGAATGCCATCTAAGTCTATTCATTGAAAACACATGGAATCCCGGCACGTTTTACTTTTTTTTTTTTACAATTTTTAAAAATATTCACAGTTTATCTTTTTCAGTGGAACTCCCAGATGAAAAAAAAATATTATTTTTTATATTACCAATCGACTCCAAAGTGAAAAATAATAGCAAACTCCTTTCTTTTTCTTTTCTTTTCTTTTTTTTTTACCACCTCTTTTATTCTCAGCATTGTTCCAGCCTCACCTGGCCACCACTCCGCTTGGGGGTGGCTGTCCTTTTGCAGAACCCCTGGAATTTCAAACGGGAAAGAACCTCTCAGCTTCTCTAGGCCTCTCCTGTCACCAGAGGACCTGTCTCCACTCTATACGCACATAGAAGCCAAGATTCCACCCAGGGTCGTGGAGTCAGAACAGTAGATTGGAAAGGCCTGAAGCCCCCCAAAGGGAAAAGGCTCCAATCTCCTCCATCTTTCACCCTCCTGGTCCCTACCCCTCACTATCTCTTAAAAGACAATATAAAATATAGTGAGATGATGAGCTTCAGAGAAGCGGTGTGACCGCGACTGAGAACATGGGGCTGGAATGCACAGATGCAAATCCTGGCTCTGTAAGTATCAGCAGTGTGACCTTGGGCAAGGTATTTAACTTTGCTGTGCCTCAACTTCCTTATCTGTAAAATGGGCATGATAACTGTACTCAGCTCACAGGGCTGTGATGATTAACTGATAGGCACACAGAGTCTCTAGAACAGTGACTGGTGTACAACAAGCATTGGCTATTATTACTCTTTTTTCTTTTTTCAAAAATAAGAATTTGAGCAGCCAGCTTGCCTCTCCACATTGTTGTCTTTTATCTCTTTAATTCAAAGTTAATTGTGCTTCGCCAGCATGTATCACTTGTCCAAGTTCAATGACTTAGTCCTTAAATGGCATCACAAATTAGGCTTCCCGGGCTAAGCTGGTGGCTTTCCCCACGGGCCTCGGCTTTATTTCATCCGATTGCCTTAAAACTCATTCAAGAAAGGGGACACTGTATGGTGATGGGTGGTAACTAGATTTATGGTGCTGATCACTTTGTAATGTATACAAATGTCAAATGATAATGTTGTGCACCTGAAACTAATATGTTATATAAAAATTTTCCCTCAATAAAAAAAGAGGGCATTGGCTCAGAGGTTTTCCATAACCGAGTTTTTACCTCCCACGCATCTCCAGTGCGCAGCCCTCAGCGGATTGCACTGGGAGGGAGTCACGTTCTCACAGAATCTGGGCTCTGTGTGCAACGACTGTGAATGTGCTCCAGCCGGGTACAGCGCTCAGCGTGGATAAAAACAAACAAAGCTGTGGAAAATCGGGCATCGATGCTCTATGGGAATGAAATGGCAGCTTTCAGCAGCCAGCCTGCAACCCACAATTTAGATGAGATGTGGGGATGGTGAAGGGAGAGTAAAACAGGGTAAGGAAAATGATTAATTAACTCACTAAAAATGAGGAGACGCAGAACGAAGTGAAAGGGAAGGAAGAAGCAGTTGCCTGTTGTGGTGGAAAGAAGCTGGGAGCTGAGATGCGGATGCCTAAGTCCTGGCTCCGTGGCTTATCTGCTGTGTGACCTTCCACAAATCCCTCACCTGTCTGAGCCTATTTGTCAAGGGGTTTTGAGCAGAATCAGCATTATCACCATTATCATCATCATGAGCTTCAGGGCTGTTAGGTTCATAAAAGGTGGTGAGCAAGAAATGCTGTGGAGAAGCCGCCAGGGAGAGGACAGTGTCCTTAAATACTTATTGAGGATGATGGGACTGGAAAGTGACGGAAAGCAGGGGCAAAGGGGTTTTTAAACACTATCGCAGAAGAAAGATATTCGAAAGAGAGCTTAAGATTAAAGTCCCCGAGACACTAACTGGGGTCTGGGGTGTGGAAGGGCCTCCCCTGGGGCAGCCTGAGCAGAAGCAGGAAGACCAAGCGTGGCTTGTCTGGGTCCCAGCACACACGCTGGTCCACACTGTGTGCTCTTCATAACAACGAAGACAGACCAGCCAGCGTGGTCAGCAGCTTGTGTTCCTTTCTGGTTGGCAGAATGGACCTCCCTAGGTGTGTGCCCCCAGTCCTCGGAACCTATGAATATGTCATGTGACATGGCAAAGGGGGCTTTGCGGATGGAAGTAAGGTTACAGGCCTAAAATAGGGAGAGCATCTGGTTACTCAGGTGCACCCGATTGAATCCCATGAGCCCCTGGAAGGCAAAGAACTTTCTCCGGCTGGAGACAGGGGAGATGAGGCAGAAGGGGAGGTCAGAGAGATTCAAAGTGTGAAAATAACTCAACCAGCTACTGCTGGCTTTGAAGATGAGGGCCAGCAGGGACGGCAGCGAGAAGGGGAGAATGACCTCTGCCCACGAACCGTAAGAAATAGAGCCTGCACTGCCTGGAACTGAACTGTGCCAGCAACCTGCCTTTCTCTCTCCTTCTCTCCTCCTTCTCTCCTCCTTCCTTCCTTCCTTCCTTCCTTCCTTCCTTCCTTCCTTCCTTCCTTCCTCCCTTCCTCCCTTCCTCCCTTCCTCCCTTCCTCCCTTCCTCCCTTCCTCCCTTCCTCCCTCCCCCCCCTCCTTCTTTCTTCCTTTTTTAAAACGAAAACCCCACACACAGCCCTGCCTCGCAGTCTCTGAAGCCTCCTGGACTGGTAACAGTGAGACACCAGTGGGCTTGGATTTCTTTTCCTTCTTCTTAGAGCCAAGTCCCCTGTATTTACAGCCTCTCTTGGATATAAGTGAGGGATCTTTGGAAGTTGATACGATTCTTTTTAGGTCACAAGGCTACTAATTGGGGCACAGCCTAAATACCTTACAGGAGAGTCCAAAGGCTTTGGAACATTTACATATATTAATTTTTTAAAATGGGGATGGAAATATACAAGCTCTCTGCCTGCATATGCATCTGATACAGTTACAGCCGTGCTGACTGTCTCATGCAGCAGGGGCCAGCATCATGCTGAAACAGTTGCACAGGACAGCCTCAGGCAGGATGTGTGGGGAATGGAGGGAAAAGTAGTAATGAGACCTCAGCTATGAGCCACCACAACAGTGACATTTGTTACTTTGTAATCACATCTTTTACAGACTACATTTGTACTACTGGGTGAAGGCAAAAAAATTTTAAAAATGGTGAAGAAAGATGATAAATTCCCTTTCTTTATAGGATACATAACTTCTCATGCCTGTTAAGCGTGCCTAAAGATAAGTCAAAACAACATTTAATAGACCAAGTACATGTATGAAAAGAGCATTTACTCCAAAACTGTATGTCTGAACTATGTGAGTATGATTTATGGGAGTCAGGTGACTTTTCAAAATGAAGATGTTTGTGAAAACACACTTTATTTCTCTGCCTGCTCAGAAACTTTATAATATCACTTCTCTTATCCTTAAAGGAGATAGGTCTGTTTCAGGGATCCTTTTATGAATTAATGAAATGAAATATCATTTATAAGGGTGAAACTAAAAGCTAAATTAAATATCCATATTTGGTATGCCATGAGAATTTGAGACCATTGGAGATCCATGTTGTATTACTGGCGTATGACCAGAACCACAAATTGGACATGTGCCTTTCCGTTTAACATCAGACCTGGCTACACAGAGACAGACATGCTTCATCATCTAAATCAACCTGTTCTGCGGTGAAAGGAAGAGTTCACGTATACACAAAATTTTTTGACAAGGTGCATTTTAAAATCTACACCAGATACTGGGCTTCACAAAGTTGCACCACCAAAGTGATATCCGAAACTTAATTCTACGTGGCAAGCAATGCAATTCATCCTAGGAGCCCATTCTGAATCAAAGTGCCACACCACCATAGTTAGCTGGTCTTTTTTCCAGAATCTTCTAGTGCCTCCTAACGCCAAAATTTGTCTATGGTTTTCATTTATGTACTTAGAGTAGCATCAACTTTTTGAGGCCAGAGATTAGTGTTTAGAAAGCTGTCCTTCCAGTTCTAGAATCAAGGACTTCCCAAGCTCTTATTCATTCAAAACTTCCCCTCTGCACACATGGAGACTATATGATCGGACACGTCTCCTCTGCTTCCCTTCTTTCGGCTCCTGTTCTAAATCCTGTCCTCTTTCTGCTTTCCTCTGCCACAAAACTCATCAAGGTAGTAGTGAACAATCAATGCTTCTATTTTCTCTGGACCTCACCCATCTCCACCAGCTGGAATTGGGTTTCCATGACCCTCCACTTCATGGTCATCAGTCTACAAATGTCCTAAACCGGCACCATCAGCATCACTTGGGATCTTGATGGAGATGTACATTATTGAGCCTCACCTCAGAAACCCTGGGAAGGGGCCCATGGATCTGAGTATGAAAGAGCCCTGCGGATGACACCGATGCTTGCTAAAATCTGAGAACCACTGCTCCATGGAGGCTGCTAGCACGGCGGTTACCGTGGTGACCAGACACTGACTCAGCTCTTACCCTTCACCAGTAGCTGAAGACCAGGGACTCGCTCCTGGTGCCTGTGGCACTGCCTTCCTCAGCTCTCCTCCTACTTCTTAAATGGTTCCTTTCACCCTCTTTCCATTTCTTCCTGTCTCCTTAATGCAGATTTTCCAAGGAATGGCCACGGGCCCTCTTCTCTCCTCTCTCTCCATCCTGCCCTGGGAAATACGATCCCCTCCCCCGGTTAACGTCATTGCATCCATGCCTCTGACCCCCCAAAGTAGCTATTGCTGGAACATGCAGGGCAGCCAGTTCTCCCGTGTGACAAAGGCGCCTCTTGGATTCCTTGTCGTTTGTTCGAGCACACAAGGCGACAGGTCAGACAAACACTCCCACGACAGAGCATGCCACTAACCTGCTCATGAACTTGTACCGGCGGGGCAGGTAATAGATTTTTCTCCTGGAAGAACAGCAAAAATGAAGCCAGTCGAGAAGAAAACCCATCGTCAGTTACAGTTTGAACTAGCAAGGAAGGAAAGGAGATTGAAGATAGAAGCCTGTAAGAGGTGAAGGAGAAAAAACTAAAAAGAGATTAACAGTGAGGAATGTAGTGGGAGCCTAGGGCATGCGTTTCTGAGCCACAGAATCTTACGAGACGCTGATATTTCTTTCTCTCCTCATTACCAGGATAGTTTATGGTTGCCACTAGTCTATAAAGCCCTGGACAGGGCGGTGATGTGGAGCAACTGGCATTCGCATGGATTCAGCTGAGGTCACCTTTTCTCAGGGACGCAGAGATGGGCTGCCAGCCTGCTGGCAATGTACGTAACTTAACGGGACACTGTTATACTAGCTAATATTTACATAGCACTTTAAGTTTACAGAACCTTTCTCTCATGTGATACAAGCAGGGGCAATAGAAAAAGATAAGTATTTTACAACCAGTACAAGAAGAACACTAACTGGTCAGCATCAACATCCAGCTGGAAATACTGCCTAACCAGTGCCCTGCTTATAGTGAATTACAGATATAAACTAAGGCATCGGGAAAATACCTGTAAAAATTGTACTTAGTAAGGACATGTCATACTTCTGTGTATCTGCATTGTTTAAATATCAGCAATGAAAATTCTGGGTGTAGTTGAAATAAAGAGCGCATGTGCTGGCTGCTTTATTAAAATGCAATTTCTCTTTCCATATTTTGGGCTTTGGCCAATGGAGTAGCCATGAACCAGAGGTGGTTTATAGGTTTTCTGAACTGTTACTGAGCTATCTCACTTTTGAAAAATGGAAAGCTTATATCCCTAAAATTATATTTCATATCTGTGAAAAGTTAAAAACATATCCATGTTGTTAACGGGCAAAACTATAGAGACAATAAAAATGTAAGTGGTTGCTTGGGTTTGGGGTTGGGGTGGGTAGTGGGGGGAAGGGATGAACAGATGGAGCCCAGAATATGCATTTGAAATATGCATTTGTCAAAACCCACAGAACTGTGCAACAAAAAGAGTGAGCCCTAAAGTAATTCTATGGACTTTAGTTAATAATGATGTATTAATCCTGGTGCATCAATCATAAGAAATATACCATACTAATGCAATATATTAATAGGAAACTGCATGGGGTGAGAGGGGCTGGGTATATGGGAATACTCTGTACTATCTACTCAATTTTCTGTAGACCTAAAAATGCCCTAAAATAGTCTATTTAAAAAACTCCATATTCATGGAATACAGGTATTTAAGAAGCAGGTTTTATTGGCAATTTCCCACCAGAAACCTATTCTTCAACTTCCCTTTAAGCACTGTAGGAATAGAAATCCAAGGAGACTAAACCAGGGATGCAGACTTGCAGTCTGCAGAAAATAGTAAATCAGATTAAGATTATTGGGGGCATTTACATTCAGGCCAATGGGTGTTTGTACATTCTGTTGAAATGATGTGGCAGGGCAGTTCCTCGTTTGGAAATGCACATACCTCCCTAGGCTAGAGTTATTTGTCTGAAACGTTGCATGAGATGACCGCACAAACTCTAAACACATCAAGTTGCACCAAGTGAAGCCATGCTCAGGTAAAATCCCATCAATATTAACAAGGCCTATTAGTGTCCAATCATTAACAGTATTTTCTCCTAAAACTGTTGTAGTGTAGGAATTCCTACACTTAAAAAGGAGATTATTATTCATTATTTATGGTTTTCATTTTATTGCTTGGATCACATTTTCTTACTGCTACAGAAGAAAAGTACTAACGCCGCTCACAGGCAGCACTTTTCTGCTGGGGAATGAGCACGCAGAAGCGTTATTTATGACATGGCCAGTCCTTCACGTAGGAAATCCTTCCAGGTACTAAAGGAACTTGCTCTATGTTAACAGTGCTCAAGTTTTCACAGTCTGCTTGGGGTCTTGGCTCTAGACGTGTGTTCCGTTGGGAGGGGCTATCAGTTTCACTAAGTTTCACCAACTTGCTTGGACCAAAAGGTAGACTTTTGGCTTTGTTGGCTAAAAGATGTTGGTCTGATATAGGAGCCTATCTAAGCCTATTTTGCAGCGTCCCTCATGTGTGATACAGTATCAACCCATATTAGCTACAGCATTGATAACTGGCTTTAATGAATTATAATTCGAGTGTAACAATTTTCAATGGAAACTAAATTGAGAATCCTTCTCTCTCTTAGTGACAATATATATTTTTTAAATCCCTGAATNGATAAGTTGTTTTTTTTTAAAACTAGATGACAGAAAACAAAAACAAACTACCCAGAAAGGAAGATAATGAAACTGAAATAAAAATAATTCTTGAAGAATTCTAGCAGGTGGTAGATAACACTGACTAAAAATCGATAATAGTAGAAAATATTTTTCAACTATTCTAGGCCTTTGTGAATGGTAGGTGTCTCACTATTAAAGTTGATTATCCATTTCTGATTCTTCCTGATTCAGTTTTACATGATCTCACTTATATGTGGAGTCTAATGAACAAAACAAACTGATGAACAAAATAGATGCAGAGACATAGAAGCGTGGAACAGACTGAGGAATCTCAGAGGGAAGGTGGGGAGAGATTAATCAAAGAACTTAAATACATATATGCATAACCTATGGACACTGACAATAGTGTGGTAAAGGGGGAAGAGGAAGTGGAGAGGGGAGGGGACCTAGGGGGGGGACACACATCTGTAATACTTTCAACAATAAAGATCCATTTTAAAAAATACATCCAAAGATTAGAACTATGTTTATCTCAATTCTTTGGAGAATTCTACCTCAACGAAAAATAAATGCTAGAAATCCCAGCTTCTATTTGGACTTAATATTAGAACATAAAGGCCAACAAACAAAGAACGTAATATACACCAGGGAGATATATTACAGGACTCTGAATGGAAATTGCCCTTCTCTAAATGTGTCCCTAGCTCCTCTCTGTCTCTATGAATGTAGCTGATTCTTTGTCTCTATTACTTTCTACAGCTCATTAAGACGTATATTTTAGAATGTGCACCAGTTTGCCACGTTCCCAATGTCTGACTTGGTCTTCTTGGCAAATAGCAAACCAAACGTATATAGTGCTTTAGTCCCTTTGGAACTGTCCTTGGTACTAAAATCCTCCACCTCCTTTAGAAGATTGCATTACGGACTTCCCACATATCCTGGCATTTCACTTTTCCTTAACTTATAGGGAAACTAAGAATGTTCGCTTTGAAATTAAGGTAAATTAATCCTTTTAAATGAGCAACCCACACAAAGTATTTTCTATTGCTCTAAGAATAAATACAAATGCTTGTTTGTACTAATAAGCTGACTTTTAAAATTTTAAATATTGGTTATTTTAAAAAATAGAGCACATTCTCATGAAATTTCTTGAACTTGTTTCTATGGAGGCAGATTTTAATGTTTTTTTGGAAGGTTGCCGACAATAAGGACCACGAATATCACTGGGCACCGTGGATGCCTAGAGTCTGGCTCAGCAACGCAGCAGTAAGAAGGGCTCCCAAAAATGGCACTTGGGAAATGAAAATGCCACTTGGAAAATTCTTTTTTGCAGACACTTGAAACATCTAACTGCTAAGGAATGAATTAACCAGAAACTTTCACAAAAAGCCATGAAATCATTACTGGCCATGAAGACCTACTGCACTTCCTAAACATTTCAAGGATTTTCTTCTCTAGCAGCATTCCAGTCTGCATTTCAGTTTTATTTGTTCCGAGAGCGGAGTCCATTAGGTTTACAGTGAAGCAGCAGAGAGAAAGGGGGAAAAACACACTGACACCTACCTGAAAGGCATTCTTACATTCATTTGTTCTGCGTATCTTCCAAGCACTTCCCATGGGGCATGCAACTTCACAAAGATAATGTCACTGTTTATTAGAGAGGACTGAAACAGAAAAAAGAAACTCAATTAAAATGCTTATCCAAGTCTCCTGGGGTTGAAACTGAGTTGGAACTTAGAACGCATGACCCTGTATGGAGTTCAAGGTTGGGGCATTCTTCAATAATAGGTTGGACCACTGCAGGTACATACAGTCAGTTAACAAACAGACCCCTGTCTACCAGGCACTGGACACCCAGCTGGGAACAGAAGAGATACGAATGACATTTACACATTCTGCAAAAAACCTGTTTTTAGAAAGAGAGGCAACAAGTTAAAAAGGGAGGGATACATTGAGATAGTGATGAGTGTTGTGGGGTGGGGAGCACACACTAGAGGTCAAGGTAAGGCCTCCCTGAGGCGGGGACGTGAGAGCTGAGACATGAAGGAAGCAGCACCCAGGGAAAGAGCAGGGAATGAGCGTTCCAGATGCAAAGGCCCTAACCTGGGGCCTGGCTTGGTGTGGCCTAGGTCTGAGGGGAGGAAGGAGGGTAGAGCGGCCGGAGGGTGGGAATCGTGAAATTGGCCTAAGAAAGAGGCTGAAAAGTGAGCAGGGGCCAGAGCATGGGGTCCCTCACAGGCCACCATGAGATGGCTGGAATTTAATCTGGGAACGCCAGGAAGTCATTTGGATTTAGGTTTTCAAAGATCACTCTGGTTGCTTCGTGGAGAACCGATTATATGAGGGAGAATTCCAGGGAGAGCAGAGGGAGGGAGAGATGCTCTCAATTATCCAGGCCAAAGAAAGCTGGTGGTGGTGCAGGTGGGGGGACCTAAGGGAAGCGTGACTTAAACCTGGGTCAGCATCAGGCAAGGCGTTTTTGAAGGACCCAAGCCTTTGCCTCCTGTGGGGCATTTTATCAACACGTCATTTAGACGGGGAAATAAACTGGGGTGTCCCACCCTGATAACCGCCCGACAGATTCTGGCCTATGAGCCTGGCCAAAGGGAGCCATTTCCCAGGGGGAGCGTGGGTTGTGGAAGGAGGTAGAATAAAGGTGAGAAAACAGTGAGCCAAGCCCGTGTAAGTTAGCAAAGCAGCCAGTGGCTTTCCGACCTCTTTCTCACACAGGGTTGTTCTGAACTGCGTGTCCTTTAAACTTAGATGGTTCAAGAATGTTGAAAGATATGTCAGTGTTTGTGGCTGAACTCTCCTTATAATAGTATTTAGGAANCTGAACTGCGTGTCCTTTAAACTTAGATGGTTCAAGAATGTTGAAAGATACGTCAGTCTTTGTGGCTGAACTCTCCTTATAATAGTATTTAGAAACAACCCAACATTTTCACACACCTGACAAAAACAGACGCTCAACTTTAGGCACCAGAGGGGATAAATCTGTGCTACGGAAAATTGTTTCTTCAACTGTAGGTGATGTTCACTTATAACTCATTTCTGGTATTTTCATTTAGAGTCTTTTTGCTGGGCTTATAAATACTGTATTTAAGAACTCCTCAAGGTAAAAATCAAACTGGGGTCAACTACAATGTTCTCAGGACTCTGGTGATGCTGAGCTTCCCCCCCACGGTGGTGGGGGCGCCCCCCAACTGCTCTGAAAAAAATCAAACTTTCTTGTCATTCAGGCTGAACGAGGTCTTATCCTCAGAATAAAGACTCTATTTCCTAAAAATGGTTTTTTGTGTGTACATCAAAGATAGACTTCAGAGTCTAGGGCTATTTTGTGGCTTCTTCATTTGGAAATTTTCATTGGGGTCATGGAATTCTTTAAACCCCCAGCTTTCCCCCGAGAGCCTACGCCCAGCACTGTCTCTGCCCTCATCTAGGAGAGACGGTAAAGACGCACAGTGAGAGCACAACACGGGCATGCGAGTGACTCACAGAATCTGACTGAGTCACAGAATCAGCCCGACTGGATTTAGAGCAGACTCTACTCCTACAACAGGCTCTCTCCAGGCAACCGCTGTGTTGTTTGTTGTACAGAAAATAAAAAATCCAGTGGAAGAATAGTCATTTCCTAGATCCCCACGAATGTATGAGACCCTGGCAAGAATACATCAGTATCCTCTACTCAGGCCACCTTTTAAACGCCACCTTTCTGTGTGTGGGAAAGCCAAGTTCATGATCTAAACCCACTGAATCAACTAAGATTCTAAGGTGGGGTCTCAACCATTTTCTGCTAAAAAGCACAGCTGTTTTGTGATTCACTCAACATGATAAAAAAAAACACCTTATGTTTCTTGTTATTTTAATTATAATAATTCTAAGAGCACCACTTAATTTTTTTAGTGCTTTGAATTTTGGAAACACTTCCCCACGTTATCTCATTTTATTACCACACAGACCTTGAGAGAGAGGCCATCCCTTCCGTTTCTCAAAGGAGCAGGGAGAAAACAGGTCCAGGAACCCATAAGCAAACGGAGCATTTATCCAGACAGAACAGTCCACACCCACACCCCTGGCTCCCTTGTCAATTTTTAAAATTTATCTTTACTGTTGAAAGAATTACAGATGTCCCCTTTCC